ATCTGGCAGCCCCCCTTTAGCGAGGGGGCCCCCAGATCCTGGCCCCCCATGTGAATGAGTATGGAGTACATGGTACCACTACACATTCACAAAATAAAACTGCAGTGTGAAAGAAGACAGTCTTTGGCAAATCCTTTATTAAAAGAAGGAATATAAAAGAATGTCCCCCGAAGATCCAACGTCAATCACGATGCCCGCTACCACCACCCGGACCAAAAAAAAAAAAGGCTCCACTCCCGACGCTGGCTCCCGCTGCCTGACTGCTCCGCTGGCTTGACAGTTCTTAAATATGTCAGGGGTAGGGCCACCCAATGACATCACCCGCATGACCACGCCTCCCCTGTGCTACAACAACCGGGGCATGCTGGGTCAATAATGTCATATGGGGGTGGGGTCACATATGTGATGGCCCAACCCTTTACATATTTAAGAACTGTCAAGCCAGCAGAGCAGTCAGACAGCCGGGAGCCAGCGTCGGGAGCGGAGCCTTTTTTTTTTTGCCTTTTTTTGTGTGGTGGTGGCAGCGGGCATTGTGATTGACATTGGATCTACAGTGGGGGGCATTCTTTTATTTTCCTTCTTTTAATAAAGGACTTGTCAAAGACTGTCTTCTGTCTTTTTTCACACTACAGTGCCGCAAAGCACCCCCCATGTTTAGGGCATGTGGCCTGGTATGGTCCCCCTTTCCTGACCAGCTGGGCTGCATGCTCAGATAAGGGTCTGGTATGGATTTTGAGGGGAACCCCAAGACATTTTTTTTTTAATTTTGGTGTGGGGGTTCTCCTCAAAATTATAACCAGACCTAAAGAGCTTGGTATGGATGTGGGGAAGACCCTATGTCATTTTTTTATTATTTTGTAATTGCCGACTTTTTTTTTTTACATTCAGCTGTCAGTGGGGAACCCTTCTGACAGCTGATTACTCATAGGTTGTTAAACGACTCGGCAGCCCATTCTTCTCTATCAGCTAATAAAAGAAGGTCAAAGCTCCAAAACAGCTAAAAACGTATAAAAAAAACAGAAAATATTTGTATAAACACACGATAAAATATGCATGAAAAACACTACACTCAGATGTGAATGGAGCCTTAGTGAATTGTGCCCAATATCATCTATTGCATCATTTGTCGCTAGGTTTTGGGAATAAAAACTTGCCAAAAATGTGCAAATCTGCCCAATTTCAGCTCCAAAACTTTTTTGAGCTTCAGGCGTCCTGCTTCAGGAGACTTGGAGTGGAGATGTGAACCATCTCCATAGAGAATTATTGATTTTTTTTTTTCCCCTGAGCGTTTTGGAGCTTCAAGCTTTGCGCTACAAAACCTGGTGTGAATGCAGCTTAACTGTGTAATTGCAGTGTGAGCTGGAGTTTGGCTTCAATATGTTATTATATCTGAATCTGCTAGTACGTCTAACCCTCCCCAACCCCAGACTGACAATGCTGCTGTCCAAAGGTGATCTTTGTGCTCCTTCATCCAGAATGGGAGTGCTTTACTACAGGAGATGTGTTACTGGCCAGATCACCAGGTGAAAACAGAGGGGAAAAAAACTAAAAAAAAGAAAACTAATGCAGCCACCATATCTAGTGATTGGTAAGCTGCAATATATTACATTTTTGGTTTTGTATTTATTACTGCTTTAACCTCCCTGGCGGTATTCCCGAGTGTAGCTCGGGGTAAAGTTTCAGTACCACAAGCGGTAACCCTGAGCTACACTCGGGAAATACTCTGCGGCGCTGCTCCATGATCCCTCGATCACTTACCTTGTCCTGCGCTCCCACGATGTCCCCCCTGCAGTGTCCCCGGCAATGTAATCCGGCGGATGCCGGCATCTGTCATCTGGGTTCCGTTCCCTGCGACGTCGGGATGTACGGGGACGGAACGGCGGGAAATTCAAAAATGACAAAAAGTGACATTCACTAAATACACTAAAATCACATAGTATAACATTCCTGTATCCAACCATTTCACATACATTTTGTCCCGAGTGCTTTGTCCGGCGCCCTGCCTGCATTTTTACTGTTCTTTCTGCCTGGAAACTGAGAAACGTCCATGGCGTCCAAAAAAAAGCGTCCCTTTAGGTCAAAAGCTGTTTTAGACCGGCTAGAGAACAGCGATAGTAAATCAGAACCACTTGCAGAATTGAGTGATAATGATTCGTGGGGGAAATTCCTCATCAGACACTGAAAACGATTCTGCGACTTTGCTCAGTGATGTGCGAACTTGGCGCTCTATTTCACATTTCAGTGTTTTTGATTGATTATATTATTGAATTAAATTTATTATTATATTATTACTTTTTATGAATATTATAATTTATGATTTCGTGTTTAAAATTTTATCATGGATGTTTACTAGACTCTTGTTCAGACAGATTTCAGTGAGTTATTCCTAAAAATTACAGCCTACAATAAAAAAAAATACATATTTCCATGCAAAAGAATGTACCGCTTTCAGCACCAAAAATCTGAAATAATCGTACCGCCAGGGAGGTTAATGCTTTTGATTATTTCCCAAGTAGAACTCTCCTTCCATGGCACCCAATGCTCACATGGTGCCTTTCAATCTGGGAGTACATCAAATAGCAAGGTTCTGCATCCCCTGCAGTGGGCCCAAGGTGTCTGTACAGAAGTCAGGGCACCACAAACAGCACACACTGGTACTAAGGTCTCATTCATCTCTGTGCAACACACAGCCAGTCCATGCCACGAAATTACTCGCAGCCCAGTATCCAGCATGATGTCCTTAGTGCTTAGTGTTGCAAAGCGTGGCTGAGCCACTCTTACCACAGCATATTCTAGGGCTTGCATTGTCCTGCCATCCACACTCACCATCGATTTACACTATATTGTGAAAAGTATTGGTCAGCTGGCCTTTCCACGCACATGAACTTTATTGGCCCCCCAGTCTTAGTCCGTAGGGTTCAATATTGAGTTGGCCCCGCCCTTTGCAGCTATAACAGCTTCAACTCTTCTGGGAAGGCCGTCCACAAGGTTTAGGAGGGTGTCTATGGGAAGGTTGGACCATTCTTTCAGAAGCACATTTGTGAGGTCAGCACTGATGTCGGGGGAGGAGGCCTGGCTCACAGTCTCCGCTCTAATTCATCCCAAAGGTGTTCTATGGGGTTGAGGTCAGGACTCTGTGCAGCCAGTCAAGTTCCTCCACCCCAAACATGGTCATCCATGTCTTTATGGACCTTGATTTGTGCACTGGTGCGCAGTCATGAACAGGAAGGGGCTATCCCCAAACTCTTCCTACAAAGTTGGGAGCATGAAATTGTCCAAAATGTCGCCTTAAGAGTTCCCTTTACTGGAACTAGGGGGCCAAGCCCAACCCCTGACAAAAACAACCCCACACCATAATCCCCCCTCCACCAAACTTCACTTGGCACAATGGAATCAGGCAAGTACCGTTCTCCTGGCAACCGCCAAACCCAGAGACGTCCATCGGATTGCCAGAGATGCATGATTAGTCACTTCAGTGAACATGTCTCCTCTGCTCTAGAGTCCAGTGGCAGCGTGCTTTACACCACGGCATCCAACGCTTTGCATTGCCCTTGGTGATGTGAGGCTTGGATGCAGCTGCTCAGCCATGGAGCTCTCTACACACTGTTGTTGTGCTCATCTGAAGGCCACACCAAGTTTGGAGGTCTTTAGCTATTGACTCTGCAGACACTTGGTGACTTCTGCGCACTGTGCGCTTCAGCATGCGCTGACCCCGCTCTGTCATGTGACGTGGCCTACCACTTGGTGGCTGAGTTGCTGTTGTTCCCAGTTGCTTCCACTTTGTTATAATCCCACTAACAGTTGAGCGTGGAATATTTAGTAGCCAGGAAATGTCACGGATGGACTTATTGCACAGGTGCCACCTATCACGGGACCACGCTTGGAGTCACTGAGCTCCTGAGAGCGACCCATTCTTTCACCAATGTTTGTAGAAGCAGTCTGCATGCCTAGGGGCTTGATTGTATACAGCTGTGTCCATGGAGGGGATTGGAACACCTGAATCACATGAATTGGAGGGCTGGCCCAATACTTTTGGCAATATAGTGTATGTGCTTCAGCTTGTCCCCATGGCCCCCTGGCCTCTCTTCACCTCCTTGCTTATTCGCCAGTCATACAGTCCAACACATGTTGCAGACAATGACCTATCTCATCCTGCACAAGTCTCTGCCAAGTGTACAGAGGTCTCTCTCTTTGGCTGGCTGGTTTATAATTTGTGGACCCACAAAAGGCATCATACAAATAACTGAAATCGCCCCAGCCATTGCCACATAGAATCTTGTGAATTACTTGCTTTGAATACAACAAAGGATACGCATGGTATACGGTAGGATGGGAAGGCCAATGATACACTGTGAACCAAATTTCTCTTTTAACGTTTCATATTTTATGAATTTGAATAAATGTATTGAATTTTAACAGCAGTGTACATGTAACCATAATTTGGAACCTTTAAAGTCATATATATGGTGGATTTTTTGTTAATTTTCTAGTAACAGACAAGGGATGTGTCTGGATGGTGACTGTATCATTGTGTGTGTCAGGTTCCTATAAGGTGTCAGGGTGTCACTGTCTATTTCTCCATGGAGGAGTGGGAGTATTTAGAAGGACACAAGGATCTCTACAAGGACGTCATGATGGACAATCAGCCGCCCCTCACATCACCGGGTAAGAGGAGACTTTATTGTAAAGGAGAGAGCAGTACGGAGGATCCACCTAGATCCCCCATCATCTGATAAACACATAGAAACAATGGATTCAGTCAGTGTGTGTGTTTCCTACAGATGGATCCAGTCATGGGAACCCACCAGAGAGATGTCCCCGTCCTCTGTATTCCCGGGATTCCACACAGGAAGGTCACACCATCCCTCACCATCAGGTAGATGGATCCAGTAATGGGAACCCACCAGAGAGATGTCCCCGTCCTCTGTATTCCCGGGATTCCACACAGGAAGGTCACACCATCCCTCACCATCAGGTAGATGGATCCAGTCATGGGAACCCACCAGAGAGATGTCCCCGTCGTCTGTATTCCCGGGATTCCACACAGGAAGATCACACCATCCCTCACCATCATCAGGTAGATGGATCCAGTCATGGGAACCCACCAGAGAGATGTCCCCGCCCTCTGTATTCCTGGGATTCCACACAGGAAGGTCACACCATCCCTCACCATCATCAGGTAGATGAGGAACAATCACTGATAGTATCATTAGGATCTGTAAATTATCTGCATTGTTACCATTGATGTCATTTTTATTATATATTCAGAGTGGAAACCTCGGGGATAATATTGTTAAAGAAGAGTATAAAGAGGAGGATGAGGAGTATGGAGTGATGGAGGAGTTTTCAGAAGGACACAAGGATATGATGGAGCCACCTAATACCAGGAACCCACCAGAGAGATGTCCCCGTCCTCTGTATTCCTGGGATTCCACACAGGAAGGTCACACCATCCCTCACCATCATCAGGTAGATGGATCCAGTCATGGGAACCCACCAGAGAGATGTCCCCGTCCTCTGTATTCCCGGGATTCCACACAGGAAGGTCACACCATCCCTCACCATCATCAGGTAGATGAGAAACAATCACTGATAGTACCAATAGGATTTGTACATGACTTACAGTTTTACAATTTATTTTATATGCAGAGTGGAGATCTGACTGATTCTAAATTTGATATTAAAGAAGAAATAAAGGAGGAGGAGGAGGATTGTGTGATGGAGGTAATGGGGTTTGAGTCTCTAAAAGGACACAAAGATCTGTACCCGGACACCATGGTGGAGTCATCCAGCTACATGAACCCACCAGAGAAATGTCCCCATCCTCTGTATTCCCGGGATTCCACACAAGAAGGTCACACCATCCCTCACCATCATCAGGTAGATGACTAATGATTATTGGTAGTTGTGATTTATACACAGCATGTTTGTTACAATGAATGTTTTATTATATCTTTCAGAGCGGAAACTTCGAGGATTATAATATTGTTGTTAAAGAAGAGTATAAAGAGGAGGATGAGGAGTATGGAGTTGAGGGTGAAGTAGAAGAGACGTATGTGAGGGATGATCAGCAATATACGGAGGAGGCTGGAATGATGAGGACATTCAAAGAGGAGGACACTCCTACAGAGATCAGCACAGGTGAGCCACAATATATTCTTCTGTTATCTCTGCTCACTGATTGGTCCAGAGTAGAGTGGGAGATGAGTGATAACAGCCAATAAAAGGTTGATGTTTGTCACCTCCCTGTATTGATTCCCGCCTTACACATCAGATCTTTTTTGGAAAAGGGTCCTGTGCCACTTTGGTGTGATGCACCTGCACTTTTAGCCCTGTAGACTTCAATGGAAATGCACAGAAAACACATATACATGCTTTTGCTGCGTTGTTAAGGAGCTGCGCCTGCCAGTGTCATTGGCTGGTAAAGAGGAGCTCCAGTCTCCTGTGTGAAAACTAACCTGTTCCCCACCGCCCTATAGCAGAAGTACTGCTACAGGGCAGCAGGGCTGTGCAAAATCACATATATATACGTGATTTTGCATTTCCAGGTAGGGTGCGCGCACACCTTACCTGTGCCACCATTGGGAGCTAGGGATGTCTATCACCAGGTACCGGCCAGAGATTCCCCCACCAGCACCCGGCGATCATCAGGGAGAGACCTGTGTGTAAACAACACAGGTCTCTCCCCTGTCAGCAAGGACATGCTGCTTTGTATCTCTCTGCACAGCACCTCCCTAGTAAAATCTCAGCATCTCCCTAGTAAATCTCATACCCAGCACGCAGTTAACCCTTTGATCGCCCCAGATGTTAACCCCTTCCTGCCCAGTGCCATTAGTACAGTGTCAGTGCTTTTTATTAGCACTGATCACTGTATTGGTGACACTAGGGATGTCAGTGACACCAAGTCAGCTCCCCCCCAGTGTCAGAATGTCCATCACAGTCCCACTAAAAGTCGCTGATCGCCGCCATTACTAGTAGAAAAAAAAGCGAAAAAAAATCCCAGTATCTATACCGCCATTTGTAAACCGTACAACTTTCACGTAAGCCAATTAATTTACACGTATTTAGATTATTTTTTTTTAGCAAAGACATGGAGCAGAATACATTTTGGTGTAAATTTTTGACGAAATTTGATTTTTTTAATTTTTTTAATGGACATGTTTAACCACTTGAACTCCTGAGGACTTACCCCCCTTAATGACCGGGCCTCTTTTTGCTACTCGGCTGATAACTGATAATTGCGCGGTCATGCAATGCTGCTTCCAAACAAAATTTACATAATTTTTTTTCACACAAATAGAGCTTTCTTTCGGTGGTATTTGATCACCTGTGCGCTTTTTATTTTTCACACTATAAACAAAAAAAAAGACCAAAATTTTTGAAGAAAAACAATATTTTTTACTTTCAGCTATAAAAATATATAGTAATCTCAAAGTTAGTTTAAATTTAGGCCAAAATGTATTCTGCTCCATGTTTTTGGTAAATAAATCCCAATAAGTGTATATTGATTGCTTTGTGTGGAAGTTATAGCGTCTACAAACTATGGTATAGATCAGGGGTGGGCAAACTTTTTGACTTGAGGGCCGCAATGGGTTCATATATTGGACCGGGGGGCCGGACCAAGAGTAGATGAATGATGTGTATGTGTCATCCATAGTAAGTATAGTAATATTCCCCCATAGTAAGCATAGTAATTAATCCCCCATATAGTAATTCATCCCCCATATAGTAATTCATTCCCCATATAGTAATTCATCCCCCATAGTAATTCATCCCCCATATAGTAATTCATCCCCCATATAGTAATTCATCCCCCATAGTGTAATTCATCCCCCATAGTAATTCATCCCCCATATAGTAATTCATCCCCCATAGTAATTCATCCCCCATATAGTAATTCATCCCCCATATAGTAATTCATCCCCCATAGTAATTCATCCCCCATATAGTAATTCATCCCCCATATAGTAATTCATCCCCCATAGTAATTAATCCCCCATATAGTAATTCATCCCCCCTATAGTAATTCATCCCCCCTATAGTAATTCATCCCCCATAGTAATTCATCCCCCATATAGTAATTCATCCCCCATATAGTAATTCATCCCCCATAGTAATTCATCCCCATAGTAATTCATCTCCACCATAGTAATTCATCCCCATAGTGATTCATCCCCCATAGTAATTCATCCCCCATAGTAATTCATCCCCCATATAGTAATTCATCCCCCATAGTAATTCATCCCCCATAGTAATTCATCCCCCATATAGTAATTCATCCCCCATATAGTAATTCATCCCCCATATAGTAATTCATCCCCCATAGTAATTCATCCCCCATATAGTAATTCATCCCCCATATAGTAATTCATCCCCCATAGTAATTAATCCCCCATATAGTAATTCATCCCCCCTATAGTAATTCATCCCCCATATAGTAATTCATCCCCCATATAGTAATTCATCCCCCATAGTAATTCATCCCCCATAGTAATTCATCCCCCATATAGTAATTCAACCCCATATAGTAATTCATCCCCCATAGTAATTCACCCCCATATAGTAATTCATCCCCCATAGTAATTCATCCCCCATAGTAATTCATCCCCCATATAGTAATTCATCCCCCATAGTAATTCATCCCCCCTATAGTAATTCATCCCCCATATAGTAATTCATCCCCCATATATAGTAATTCATCCCCTATAGTAATTCATCCCCCATAGTAATTCATCCCCCATATAGTAATTCATCCCCCATAGTAATTCATCCCCCCATATAGTAATTCATCCCCCATATAGTAATTCATCCCCCATATAGTAATTCATCCCCCATAGTAATTAATCCCCCATATAGTAATTCATCCCCCCTATAGTAATTCATCCCCCATATAGTAATTCATCCCCCATATAGTAATTCATCCCCATAGTAATTCATCCCCCATAGTAATTCATCCCCCATATAGTAATTCAACCCCATATAGTAATTCATCCCCCATAGTAATTCACCCCCATATAGTAATTCATCCCCCATAGTAATTCATCCCCCATAGTAATTCATCCCCCATATAGTAATTCATCCCCCATAGTAATTCATCCCCCCTATAGTAATTCATCCCCCATATAGTAATTCATCCCCCATATATAGTAATTCATCCCCTATAGTAATTCATCCCCCATAGTAATTCATCCCCCATATAGTAATTCATCCCCCATAGTAATTCATCCCCCCATATAGTAATTCATCCCCCATATAGTAATTCATCCCCCATATAGTAATTCATTCCCCATATTAATTCATCCCCCATATTAAGTCCCCAAGTCCCCCCTGTGTCAATTCACTTACCTTTGCTCCGCGCGTTCCTCTCGCCGTGTCCCGCGCCGTTCCGGTGTAGCATGAAAATCTGTCTCCTATGAGGATCTGTCCCCCTCGACGTATCTGCGCATGTGCCAGTTTCAGGCATTAGCAGCCGATCGGCGATCTCCGGCACATGCGCAGATACGTCGAGGGGGACAGATCCTCATAGGAGACAGATTTTCATGCTACACTGGTCTTCAGGGCGGACTGTGAGAGGAGCCTAGCGGGAGCCTAGCTCCGCGGGCCGGATTAAAAGGTCCGCCGGGCCGTATACGGCCCGCGGGCCGTAGTTTGCCCATTGCTGGTATAGATACTGCAATTTACGCCATTTTTCTGCTATACAGCGCTGCACTAGTTTAACGGACAATTGTGCGGTCATGCAATACGGTACATAAATGAAATTTACATCCTTTTTTTTCCCCACAAATTGAGCTTTATTTCGGTGGTATTTGATCGCCTGTGCGGTTTTTATTTTTTGCGCTATAAAAAAAAGTCTGACAATTTTGATGATGAAAAAAAAAACAATATTTTGGACTTTTTGCTATAAAACATGTCCAGTAAGAAAAAATTTAAAAATCAAATTTAGTCATAAATTGCTGCCAAAATGCATTCTGGGACATGTCTTTGCTACAAAAAACCCAATACGTGTAAATGAATTGGTTTACGTGAAAGTTATAGCGTTTACAAATGGCGGGAAAGATACTGGGATTTTTAATTTTTTTTTATACTAATAATGGCGGCGATCAGCGACTTATGGCGGCGATCAGTGACTTATGGCAGCGATCAGTGACTTATGGCGGAACTGCGGCGGACATTCTGGGCGGCACTGACTTGGGGTCACTGACATCCCCAGTGACACCAATACAGTGATCAGTGCGAAAAAAACACTGACACTGTACTAATGGCACTGGGGAGGAAGGGGTTAACTTTATTTTTCAAGGAAAGGGTTATCTGTGTGAGGGGAGTGTTTTACTAGGGGGCGGGGTGTGTACTGCAGGGAACACCGCTGATCGGGACAGATAAACTCTTCTGTCCCCATCAGCGTGTCCTGGAGCTGTCAGGGAACTGACAGAAAGCACAGCTACTGCAGCCCTGCTCTCTGTCACTGATTGCCGCTAATCGCCGGGACTTAGCCGGTAACGACCGGCTGTGACCCGACGACTGACATCTGCAGCCGTGATCGACAGGACAGGTAGGGCGGTCTTAGGGCCTCGCGCACACCGCCTACCTGTTTTAAAAACACGTTTTAAAACGTGGTTTTGCCCAGCCGTGCCGTCCTGCCGCCGTATTTCTACAGTGGCTGGGCGGCATGTGGTTAATAGCAAAAAGTCCAAAATATTGTTTGTTTTTTTTCAAAATTGTCGGTTATAGCGCAAAAAAAATAAAAAAAACACACAGACGATCAAATACCACAGAAAGAAAGCTCTATTTGTGGGGAAAAAAATGACGTAAACTTCATTTGGGTGCAGCGTTGCATGACCGCACAATTCTTAAAGTAAAGCAGTAGCGCAAAAATTGGCCTGGTCAGGAAGGGGGGGGGAATCCTCTGGAGGGCGAGGGGTTAAAGGTCAGCAACTACACAAAAACTGTACTTTTATTAAACAGCCACTCACCTGTCCCACGATCCTGTGCTTTGCTCACCCCAGCTGTTTTCACCTCCTGTCGTCTATCCCCAGCGCTGGCATCTTAAATGTGGGCAGCCGGCCGTGACAGCAAGTGGCTTGCTGCTGCGCTGCGCTGCGCATTGTGAATGGTCCCCCCCAGTCTTCTGGGATCTGTCATGTGTTCCAGAAGACTGCGGGGAGCTGAGGGGGTGAAAAACTTTTGCCTCTGACCACCTAGGACAGGGGTAGGCAACCTGTGGCTCTCTAGCTGTTGTGGAACTACATTTCCCATGAGGCATTGCACAGATTACTGACAGTTACAGCTATGACTTGCAGAGGCATGATGGAACTTGTAGTCCTGCGACTCTCAGGTTGCCTACCCCTGGCCTAGGGTGTCAAACTGGCGGCCCTCCAGCTGTTGCCAAACTACAAGTCCCATGAGGCATTGCAAGATTGACAGTTACAAGCATGACTCCCAAAGGCAGAGGCATGATGGGACTTGTAGTTTCACAACAGCTGGAGGGCCGCCAGTTTGACACCCCTGGCCTAGGCGGTCAGAGCAGGAGTTGGAGCGGGTACTTATCAAAATCAGGTATATGCTCCCTCCCCCTCCCAAAAATGCCATTTCTCAAACAAGAGCGGGGGAAGAGGCCTTAAAGTGGAACTTCCCCTTTTGGGTGGAGCTCTGCTTTGTCACCAGCACTTGCTGATGTCTTAACAACCAATGACTTATCCCTGCTGTCGGCCAACAGCAGAATGAAAATAAAATGTACAAGGGGTCACCACACAATCCATACCAGGCCCTTCAGGTCTAGTATTGATTTTAGGGGAACTCCAGGCGAAAAAAAAAAAGGGTGTCCCCCCCCCCAAATCCATACCAGACTATTAACTGAGCATGCAGCCTAGGCCAATGGCAGGGTCAAGCCTGAGGCCACCTCCCTTTTGAACCACCCAAGCCATATGCCCTCAACATGGTAAGGGGGTACTTTGCTATGATAAAAAAGACAAGGACCTCTTCCCTACAACCCTGACCCAGTGGTTGTGGGTGGGGGGGGCTCATCAGAATCGTTAATCTTTAACAATAAGGGGGCCCCCAGATTCTGGCTGGCTATGTGAATGAGTATGGGCTACATAGTACTCCTACTCATTCACTTAAATAATGTAAATAGTAAAAAAAAACACAACACAGTTTTTGACGAGTCCTTTATTCAAAACATTTTTTAAAAAGTCCCTGCCATCCCCGCTGCTGAACGTTCCCCTTCCTGCTTCCGTCAGAGGATGTGGCTCAGCTGAACACCCATTTAGTTAGACTGTTTTCCCAACCTCCGAACAAGCAACCTCTGAGAGCGCATCCCTATTTATGTAGATTCAGAGGTTCATCTGGTAATACTAGGTCGTGTTTTTCTCCTTTTTACAGTAGCACACATATATTACAGATTGTGTCTTGGTCACTCTTCTTCGGGCAGACTTGTAGCTGAAAGTTATAAATCTCTATTTACATTTTTCTTGAGAGGGAAATTAACCACTTGCCGCCCTGCCACTGTAGAAATACGGTGGCAGGGCGGCACTGGCAGGCAAAACCACGTTTTAAAACGCGTGTTTTGTAAACAGATAGGGGGCGCCCGCGAGGCGCGCCGCCGCCCTATCTGTCCCGCCGATCACCGCCGCGGATGTCAGTCGCTGGGTCACAGCCGGTCTTTACCGGCTGTTTCCCGGCGATCGGCAGCAAACAGTGACAGAAAGCACAGCTGCAGTAGCTGTGCTGTCTGTCACTTCCCTGACAGCTCGAGGATGAGCTGATCAAGAAAGAAGAGTTTCTCTCCCTCGATCAGCCTTGTCCCGCCCAGTACACACCCCCGCCCCCTAGTAAAACACTCCCCTCACTCCTATAACCCTTCCCTGCAAAATAAAGTTAACCCCTTCCTCCCCAGTGCCATTAGTACAGTCTCAGTGTTTTTGTTTTTGCACTGATCACTGTATTAGTGTTTTTGGGGATGTCAGTGACCCCAAGTCAGTACCCCCCAATCTCAGAATGTCTGCCGCAGTCCCGCCATAAGTCGCTGGTCGCTGCCATAAGTCCCTGATCGCAGCCATAATTCACTGATCGCCGCCATTATTAGTATAAAAAAAAAACTAAAAATCCCAGTATCTTTCCCGCCATTTGTAAACGCTATAACTTTCACGTAAACCAATTAATTTACACGTATTGGTTTTTTTTTTAGCAAAGACATGTCACAGAATGCATTTTGGCAGAAATTTATGACTAAATTTGATGTTTGCATTTTTTTTTACTGGACATGTTTTATAGCAAAAAGTCCAAAATATTGTTTTTTTTTCCTCAAAATTATCAGCCTTTTTTTATATAGCGCAAAAAATAAAAAATGCACCGGCCATCAAATACCACCGAAAGAAAGCTCAATTTGTGGGGAAAAAAAGGATGTAAATTTTATTTATGTACCGTATTGCATGACCGCGCAATTGTCCGTTAACCTAGCGCAGCGCTGTATAGCAAAAAAATGGCGCAAATTGCAGTATCTATACCATAGTTTGTAGACGCTATAACTGTCACACAAAGCAATCAATATACACTTCATTGGGATTTTTTTTACCAAAAACATGGAGCAGAATACATTTTGGCCTAAATTTATAACCAACTTTGAGTTTTTCTATATATTTTTTATAGCTGAAAGTAAAAAATATTGCTTATCTTCAAAATTTTTGGCTTTTTTTGTTTATAGCGTGAAAAATAAAAAGCGCACAGGTAATCAAATACCACCGAAAGAAAGCTCTATTTGTGTGAAAAAAAGGACGTAAATTTTGTTTGGGTGCAGCATTGCATGACCGCGCAATTATCAGTTGAATTAGTGCAGCGCCGAGTAGCAAAAAGAGGCGTGGTCATTAAGGGGGGTAAATCCTCTGGAGGGCAAGGGGTTAAGGAGGAACATAAAAAAGTAAAACACATATTTTCAGCAGAAAGTAGTTCTCCAAGCACCCTCCTGTGCTGCGTACCACCAGAATCCTAGGCCTATGGTCACTTGTTCTATGCTAAAGGGTCTGCAAGTCTAAACTTCAAACCTTTTGATTATCAGAGATCACTTGAGTTCAGTGCCTAGGCTTGTGGTTGTGTAAAGAGCATGCCCCTCCCAGTCCCTATTGGTTCCTGCACTCATGGCTACTTGAATGTAGAAGTGATCTGGGAGGAGGACCAAAGGCTTTTTGAAGGGGGGAAAGGGTCTAAACTGGTTGGAACAGGCACAGAGAACATCTGCTGACTCAAGTCTAAACTTCAAACCTTTTGATTATCAGAGATCACATGACCGAGTGCCTAGGCTTGTGGTTGTGTAAAGAGCATGCATCTCCCAGTCCCCATTGGTTCCTGCTCTCATGGCTGCTTGAATGTAGAAGTGATCTGGTAGGAGGACCAAAGGACCTTTGACTGAAGGGGGAAAGTATTCCAGCTGGTTGGGACATCCACAGAGAATACCTGCTGACTCAAATCTATCTGATCCAATTGGAATCTTGATTTAAGCAGATGAACCCTATCATTTATATTTTCCAGGACACGCCATTGAGAACCCTTCAAAGGATGGTCTCACTTTATCTCCGGGTTGTAAAATGGAAGATGAGGACATCACAAGAGATTGTGGAGGAGAAGAGACAATGAGCTCAGCTATGGATGGTGGACTTCACAGTGTGGCTAGACCGTTCAATGCCTCTGACTCTGAAAAGCTTCATTCCTGTTCTGAGTGCGGGAAATGTTTCCTTCATAAAACAGAACTTGTCATACATTGCAGATCTCATACTGGCAAAAGACCAATTTCCTGCCACGATTGTGGGAAATTATTTACACGGAAATCAGACCTTGTTAGACATCAGAGATCTCACACGGGGGAGAAGCCGTATTCCTGCCCTGAGTGCGGGAAATGTTTTTCCCAGAAATCAGGCCTTGTTATACATCAGAGGTTGCACCTGTGGGAGAAGCAGAATTCGTGCCCTGAGTGTGGGAAATGTTTTACAAAGAAATTAGATTTTGTTATACATCAAAGATCTCACACGGGGGAGAATCTGTATTCGTGCCCTGTGTGCGGGAAATGTTTTTTACACAAATCACGCCTTGTTAAACATCAGCGAATTCACACAGGGGAGAAACCGTATTCCTGCTCCGAGTGTGAAAAATGTTTTTCAGAAAAATCAGGCCTCATTATACATCAGAGATATCACATGGGAGAGAAGCCGTATTCTTGCACTGAGTGTGGGAAATGTTTTTCACGGTTGTTCTGTCTTAGCGCACATCAGAAGATTCACACAGGCGAAAAGCCGTATTCCTGCACTGAGTGCGGGAAATGTTTTTTACTCAAATCAGGCCTTATTATACATCAGAGATCTCACACGGGGGAGAAGCCGTATTCCTGCCCTGAATGTGGGAAAGGTTTTACAAAGAAATCAGCCCTTGCTTTGCATCAGAGATCTCACACGGGGGAAAAGCCGTATTCTTGTCTTGAGTGCGGAAAATGGTTTTCACGCAAAACAAGCCTTGATAGACATCAAAGATTGCACACGGGGGAGAAGCCACATACCTGCCCTAAATGTGGGAAATGTTTTACGTGGAAATCACAATTTGATAGCCATCAGAGATCGCACACGGGGGAGAAACCTCATTCCTGCCCTGAGTGCGGGAAATGTTTTGCAGATAAATCACACCTTGTTAGACATCAGAGATTACACACGGGAGAGAAGCCGCATTCTTGCCCCGAGTGCGGGAAAGGTTATACACGGAAATCAGACCTTGTTGTTCATCAGAGATCTCACAGCGGGGTGTAAGAATGAGTTGAACATTTCTGCGTTCAGTTCGTTGATCTGCTCTTATGTTCTGAATGTTAATTCTAAACCCCACTGAAGTCAATGGGAGCAGAATCTTTTTCAAATCAATTCAGTCCGTTTTTTGAGGCAAGAGATTGTCAAAGGGCACTGATTTCATGGTCGTGTCCATATGCAATCAGATATGTCACCCCGAATACCTCACCCTTAGCATTTGTTATGAGTTTCCGTTGGGAGCCAATCCATTGGCATGCTTTTTTTTTCTTCTCTTGGTAAATTGGCAGGTATTGGTAATTATTAGTGACAAGGCTCTCTGGCCGACGTGATTTATGAATCATTAGCATTGTTGAGTTTTTTTCCTAAAATAAAGGCCTTGTCAAAGGTGTGTGTGTGCTTATGTAGTAGAGTGCTCCTTTACCCGCCTTCCTCAGCAGCCTGCACAGGGTCACAAAGAACGTGATCTTCGAATGGTTATGTTGTTTACCGGGCGCTTGGATTCGGCACATTGTGGATCAGATGGACAGATTGTTGGGTGGGGCTGGGGAGGACCCGGCTGTCATGGTGCATGTTGGTACCAATGACAAATTTAAAGGAAGATTGAGCGTCCTAAAAAATGACGTCATGGACTTAGGCGCTATATTAACCGCTTAAGGACCGACCCCAGACTGCGCTTGGGTACTTCTGTTAGACTACCGCTTCCCCATCCGAACACCGACAACAGACACCACAGCCGACCATACCAGACTAGACAACACCAGTCTTGAAGTAAAGCAGGGAATAGACTAGTTTATTTAAACACAGATACAAGATATATACACTCAGGGGACAATCCCCCCTCCCTGCATAATGACAGAGGGCGGGGCAATCTACCTTTAGTAACAAGAGATATACCAGCAGACAGTCCCACCAGGAGGGAGGGCTGCTGGAGACACCCCCCCCACCAAGCCAATACACATAAACACATGCATCCCATATTAGTTTGCTCCCAAGCCTGACAAACAACAGAACTATGGGATGCAGCCCCGAAACACCAAACAATCCACAACCCCCCACTTCACCTATCTCCTAGACATGTCTACACAATATTAGGACAGATCACCCTGTACCCCTAACAGGCACAGGGTGACTTACACATAAGAGGGATATGGGGAGCTGAGACAGGGGTCTCCCCACCTCTCCAAAGTGAGCTGGGTTCCATGGGCCCCCCACCCAAAGTGACTCCTGTCACACCGCCCTATAACAGCTATACTGGTACAGGGCGGCACCTGTGCACAAAATCACGTATATATACATGATTATGCATTTCCGGGTAGGGGGCGCACATGATGTCATAGCGCTATAGTAACAGCTTAAGGACCACCCTATAGCAGATATACTGCTACAGGGCGACACCTGTGCGCAAAATCACATGTATATATACGTGATTGTGCATTTCCGGGTAGGGGGCACGCGTGACGTCATGGGCTTAGGCGCTATAATAACTGATTAAGGACCGCCCTATAACAGATATACTGCTACAGGGTGGCACCTGTGCGCAAAAATCACATATATATGTGATTGTGCATTTCTACGTAGTGAGCGCGCTGCTATTCGGGCCGTTGATGCCAATCACCGGGTCCCAGCCGGTAATTACCTGCCGACACCCGGTGATTACCGAGCATCTCCGACAGGGAGGAAGATTGTTTTGTTTACAAACAATCTTCCTCCCTGTCAGCTTGAGCACACTGCTCGGGATAGCAGTGCACAGTACAGCCATCCTGATCAGTGTGCTTACAATGAAGCACCCACCCTGAGTAAAACACTGCCAGCACACAGTTAACCCTTTGATCACCCCCCCCCTGCTGGCACCCGGCAATCGCCGAGTATCACTGATGGGGGAGAGACCTGTATTTAAACAATACAGATCTCTCCCCTTTCAGCTCCTGTACACTGCATAGAAAGTCATGCAAAGCAATGTGCTGACACAGTGTAAAGCACACAGTGAAACAACGCACAGTTAACCCTTTGATCGCCCCTCACATTAACCCCTTCCTGTCCAGTGCCATTAGTACAGTGTCAGTGCCTTTTTTTTTTGCACTGATCACTGTATTGGTGTCACTGGGGTGTCAGTGACACCAAGTTTGTTCCCCTCTCAGTGACAGAATGTCCACCGCAGTCCCTCTATAAGTCACTGATCGCCGCCATTACTAGTAGAACTTTTTTTTTTTTTTTTTTTTAAAATCCCAGTATCTATACCGCCATTTGTACACGCCATAACTTTCACATAAACCAGTTAATTTACACGTATTGGGATTTTCTTTTAGCAAAGACATGGAGCAGAATACATTTTGGCCTAAATTTATGACAAAATTTGATTTTTTAAAATTTTTTACTGGACACGTTTAATAGCAAAAAGTCAAAGTTTTTCTCAAAATTGTTGGTCTTCACTGAAGTGTGTTGATGAGGCTGCACTGATGGGCACTGATAGATAGAACTGATGTACATTTTGGGGGTAAAAAATAACCCAAATCGGTCTGTATTATTTAGTCTGTGTGAAAGCTATAGAGTCTACAAACTATGAAAATGAAAAAAAAAAATGAAAGGAAGACTTTTTAATCAGGGTCTAGCATCAAGTCAATGGAACTCCTGGGATATTGATCTGGTCAGGTAAGTCACAGAGGTGGTTGTTCATCAGTTTTAGCTGTTTTGGTGTTAATGAAGTTAACAACAGGTGGACGAGATGGGCAATAATGAGATGACCCCCAAAACAGGAATGGTTTTACAGGTGGAGGCCACTGACATTTCTTTTCTGACTGTCTTTCACTAGTTTTGCATTTGGCTAGGGTCAGTGTCACTACTGGTAGCATGAGGCCATACCTGGACCCTACAGAGGTTGCACAGGCAGTCCAACTCCTCCAGGATGGAACATCAATACGTACCATTGCCAGAAGGTTTTCTGTGTCTCCCAGCACAGTCTCAAGAGCATGGAGGAGATTCCAGGAGAGAGGCAGTTACTCTAGGAGAGCTGGACAGGGCCGTAGAAGGTCCTTAACCCATCAGCAGGACCGGTATCTGCTCCTTTGTGCAAAGAGGAACAGGATGAGCACTGCCAGAGCCCTACAAAATGACCTCCAGCAGGCCACTGGTGTGAATGTCTCTGACCAAACAATCAGAAACAGACTTCATGAGGGTGGCCTGAGGGACCGATGTCCTCTAGTGGGCCCTGTGCTCACTGCCCGGCACCATAGAGCTGGATTGACATTTGCCATTGAACACCAGAATTGGCAGTTCCACCACTGGCACCCTGTGCTTTTCACAGATGAGAGCAGGTTCCCCCTGAGCACATGTGACAGACGTGAAAGGGTCTGGAGAAGCCGTGGAGAACATTCTGCTGCCTGTAACATGGTTCAGCATGACTGTTTTGGTGGGGGTCAGTGATGGTCTGGGGAGGCATATCCATGGAGGGACGCACAGACCTCTACAGCCTAGACAATGGCCCCCTGACTGCCATTAGGTATCGGGATGAAATCCTTGGACCCATTGTCAGACCCTACGCTGGTGCAGTGGCTCCTGGGTTCCTCCTGGTGCAGAGGCTCCTGGGTTCTTCCTGGTACATGATAATGCCCGGCCTCATGTGGGGAGAGTATGCATGCAGTTCCTGGAGGATGAAGGAATTTATACCATTGAATGGCCCCCACACTCTCCTGACCTAAATCCAATAGAACACCTCTGGGATGTCATGTTTCGGTCCATCCGATGCCACCAGGTTGCACCTCAGACTGTCCAGGAGCTCAGTGATGCCCTGGTCCAGATCTGGGTGAGGAAATCCCCCAGGACACCATCCATCGTCTCATTAGGAGCCTCCCCCGACGTTGTCAGATATGCATACAAGCACGTGGGGGCCATACAGACTACTGAGGACCATTCTGAGTCTCTGCAATGACATTTCAGCAAAATGGACTCGCCTGCTGCATCATTTTTTCACTTTGATTTTTGGGGTGTCTTTGAATTCAGTCCTCTGTAGGTCAATCATTTTCATTTCCATCAAACGATGGGGCATCGTCCTTACATTCCTAACACATTACCCCGTCCATGTCAGTATAGAGATCCAGCAGGGAGAATTTCCCCATTGAGATCTGATGTGTTTTAAAAGGGCTCCTTTAATTTTGAGCTGTGTATATTTGAAAATTGATCTGTTGAGACCCTAAAATGTTGGACACTGATGTATAGCAGTGATCAGGATGTTGGTATGAGGTATGGAAGTGATCAGGACTCTGGTATGGGGTATGGCGGTATGGGGTATGGCGGTGATCAGGACTCTGATATGGGGGTATGGCAGTGATCAGGACTCTGGTATGGCGGTGATCAGGACTCTGGTATGGCGGTGATCAGGACTCTGGATATAGTGAATTCGGGGTCCGGGGAGACCAGATATAGTGAATGCAGGGTCCGGGGAGACCAGATATAGTGAATGCAGGGTCCGGGGAGAGCGGATATAGTGAATGCGGGGTCCGGGGAGACCAGATATAGTGAATGCAGGGTCCTGGAAGATTAGATATAGTGAATGCAGGGTCCGGGGAGACCAGATATAGTGAATGTGGGGTCCGGGGGGAGACCAGATATATAGTGAATGCGCGGGTCCAGGGAGACCGGATATAGTGAATGCGGGGTCCGGGGAGAGCGGATATAGTGAATGCGGGGTCCGGGGAGAGCGGGATATAGTGAATGCGGGGTCCGGGAGAGCGGATATAGTGAAATGCGGGTCCGGAGAGACCAGATATAGTGAATGCAGGGTCCGGGGAGAGACGGGATATAGTGAATGCGGGGTCCGGGGAGACCAGATATAGTGAATGCGGGGTCCGGGGAGAGCGGATATAGTGAATGCGGGGTCCGGGGAGAGAGCGGATATAGTGCAAATGCAGGGTCCGGGGAGAGCGGATATAGTGAATGCAGGGGTCCGGGGAGAGCGGATATAGTGAATGCGGGGTCCGGGGAGAGAGCGGATATATAGTGAATGCAG